ACACACTCTTTCAATGGATACAAAAATGTAAAAGAAACAAAACGCAGAGCTTAAAAACAATTCCTTTTCACATGCTAATATTAGAGTTCGGAGCCTTATCACCTGAATTTTACATTGCGTATTTGAAAATAATGGACTCGTAACTGCGTTCAAGAATTGAAGGTAGCAACAAAACATTTCCATTCTCTATTAAGTTTGTGGATGAAATTTGAGAAGAAATGTATGTAGACAGAATCCATACTTGAGAAATGGACAAATGGTAGTAGCCAAATCTATATACTCCAGTGGCATTCTGGAAATAATAATGGCAAAGATTGTCTAAAGTTTAAACAGGTCAGGTCCCCATCAACCCCCTTTCCGTGCTGGTACTTCCCAACAACCAAATTTGAAGATTGAACAATTCAGTTATTTCATTGGTTTCTCATGTTTGTTTGATTGTTGGAATCTGCACCCAATATAATATTCAAAGAACCAACATAATTACTCCGCTATGTAAAGCAAGTAATTTAGTTTCCTCTTTAAGTAGGTTCTTAAATTCAAATTTTGAATTGTTAATGTAACTTATGGAATATGTTGTTCTTATCGAAATATGACAAGAGTTCAAGCTCTTGAGCCTTCAAGTTTTTGTTAGGATTATTTATTTATCTGAAGAGATATTTATATTAAGATGAGAATTATAACTTTGTTATTTTTATCGATTCATTTCACACAACTTCATAATGATGAAATATTGATGATGAAATATTGACCTAACCTTTATTTCAGTAAAATCTATCTTTATATATCATTTTGTTACTTATCACTTTTTGTTATAACTTATTGGTTGTCACCAAATCTAGCAGAATCTATTTTTGTATATCATTTTATCACTTATCACTTTTTGTTATAACTTATTAGTTGTCACCAAATTCATGTATCATTGTTAGGGTTAAATTTTGTTTTTGATTATCATCCAAAAGGTCTTTCAATTAATGGAAGTATACATATATTTTATAAACTCTTATTTTTTCTATAATTTTATCGATGTAGGACTTTGTCTGTATCTCAAGAGTCTTCTCATATGGACAATATTTTGGGATCTATACTTCAATAAGATCTTCCCTCAAATATATTTTAATCTTGGTTAAAATGGGTGAATACTTGGAGAAAGAACTTTGATAATCAAATTAGCCTATTTGTCTATTCTACCAATTAGAATATATATTCATACCTTCTTTGTTCTTGATGATTGTCAAACCTCCTCGTAGTTCTCAATAATCATGTATAAGGTGGTTATACAGTTTTATGCTAGAGCACAAGGTGTTTGATGTATGCTTGGTACACATTATATACAAGTACATTTATAAGTTAGCTTATTCATTCATTTGGGATTGGCATGTTCAAACTTCTTTCAGGTTGACCTACTCGAGTTGTTTATTAGCTTGGTTAGTATAAGATGAATTTGTCCCTTTAATCGAGTTTATCCAACTTAATTCAAATTAGTTAAGATTTAAAATAATTTCTTGGTGTAAAAAATGCAATTAAGAAACCAACAAATTTAGGATATGTTTGGATCAAAGTTCAATTGAACCTAATCCACAATTGGATCAAACACACTTACTTGAGAGGGAAAGATGAAACTGAGTGTGGATACATGCATAATGAAACACTTCAAATTATTTCATTTTTATTTATTTTTTTTATTTCTCTTAAATCAAGTACTTCAAATTTTATTCTATTTTATATCTATTTTTCTCTTCTTTATTTTTTTCTCCTTTATTTCATGTCTATTTTTCAATCAAGGTTCAAACTCACTAATAGACCAATTCTTATATATCTTTCTATGCATTATTTTTGGTTTATTTGACTTTTATTAGTATCATATTGTGAATATTAGCTTTGATTTGTTAAAGTGAATCATTTTGGTCTTAGTTGTAAATTTTAGTTAATTTTCATAATTTTTTTTTCTTATTTTGACATTTTTTTTCTTGTGTAGGCCATATCTAGAGTTCTCGACATTGAATTTGGACGTTCTTGGTATTCCTAGAAAGATAAGAGAGAGTTCTACAACTTCTCTGTTAGAAGAAAATGCCAGTTCAAATGTTAAATGACCCAAAATTGTGTTTCAAAGTTACAATCCTACACAATATTTTCTTTTTCTTTTTAGATTGTAATGTTAGGATTTGTTTAATGATGTAACTAGTTGATTTAGTGAGTAGGGCCTTTAATTACTCATATTAGGCACATTAGTGTAGTCTATAAATAAGTGTAACACTTGCACACTTTACATTATATACCTTATTTTTCATATTTTAGAGTTGCTTCTCTTAGAAGTCTCTCAAAATTCTCTCTCTCTCTTGGATTTTTTCTCTTACTTACACGAATTGGATTGTTACAACATGATTATGATTCATGGCTAGTTCGTTAATCGATTTTAGGTTTCAAGAACTACGATAAAATTTGAGTTCTCGATCTTTTTATTGAACAAATTCTTTTTTTTTCTTAGGTTTTTCTTTTGTTTTTCATGATTATGAATTTCATTTTGGATTTAGAACAGAGATTGAAGATTAATTTTACATCTAAATTTAGATTTAGACTTAGATTTATACCTAAATTGTCTAATTCAATTATTCACTGTTCTTGAATTTTATTAAAATTGTGAGATTGTGCTTACATTTTATGTTTTGATGGAATTCATAGATCTATAAATTTTATTAAGTTCGTGTTGAATTACGTTGGTTGAAAATTCATATTTATTGTTGAATTATGAAAATTTTACTATATCGATTGAAACCTTGAATTGGTACTTCTCCGATTGAATTTCTGATTCTTAATTCTCTATTTTGTTGATTCAATACTGTGTTTAAATATTAAAATTTTCCTTGTTAATTGCGTGATAAAATACAAATTAAATGTGCTTGTGTCTTCATGAAGAATGACATAGAGTGTTTCTTGTATTGCAAATTTTTAAGAGAAATCTAGTTTACTTTTGATAGTGACTCAACATCGCTATCCCTCACAATGATAATGATTTTTATGTGAGAATTAGAAGTGTAAACTAATAGCAAGTTGTTGTGCATAGTTGTGCATGATTGTACATGAACATGACTCATATTCATAATGGGCATGTATATGTTGAAGTAGAGCAAATTGGGTTTGGATCGCCTATTTGTTGGATTACTAACTAATTGGGTTGGAGTGTTGGACTATGTCCTCAATGTTTATACATATTTGATGTAACCTTATTTATAATGATGAATAAGAGAAATACAACGATATACTTATATTTCTTATATGGTATTAGAGTTAGGTGAAGGTTCTGAGAATGATTGCCCAAAATGGCAGAGTAGGCTTTGAGATGATCTCAGGAGAAGGTAATTCCGGTTTAATTGGACTAACTACTTATCAATGGAAGATGCTAATTTTTTGAAAGGTTAACAAAGAAGTAGCAATTAGAAGATGACAAGTGAGAGCAACATCACTACATGGATATTGATACAAAGGCATCAAATCATATTACAGAAAGTTTGAAGTAATTGTGTGAAATTGCGAGAAATACTAGGGTACCTAATTGGATTATCAGAAGGACAACACATTACTACAACCACAACCAAGGAAGAATCAATAAACTTTGATGAGGGTTTAAAGCTGAAAAACATTATTTTTTTCCTAGTTTAAATTACAATTTAATTTTTATGTCACAATTAATTGACGAATCAAACATTATTGTTCAATTTACTAATAATTTATGCATGCACTATGAGGATGCTGATTGGAGTGAGTGAACAAAAGAATGGACTCTATTTTTTTTTGAGGGGTTCCAAGAGTGAAGTTGTGTAAGACTAATGGAATAAACTAACTTGATCTATGACATAGACATTTGGTACACCCCTCTTTGGTTCCTAATATTGGTTGTGGTAATAGTAGTGAATTGTTAAATAAAGTTTGTGATGTATGTCAATGAGCAAAACAAGCTAGAGACAAATTTCCTTTGAGTAATCATAAAGTTTTTCAAGTTTTTGAATTAATTCATTGTGATTTGTGGGAATTTTATAAAACTCCCTCTTCTTATGGTGCTTTGCATTTTTTGACAATAGTAAATGATTGTTCTCATGTTGTTTGGGCATTTTTGTTAGTTGACAAGAAAATAGTGTCAAGTATATTGATGGATTTTTGTGCTATGGTGAAAAAAATATAATAAACAAGTCAAAGTTATTCGAAGTGATAATAGGACGAAATTTATATGTATGAAAAATTATCCTCTTGAAAGTGACATTGTTTTTCAAACTTTATGTATTGGGACAACACAACAAAATGGAAGAGTAGAGAGGAAACACTAACATATCTTGAATGTGACATGAGTATTATGCTTGCAAAGGAATCTTCCCAATGATTTTTGGGGTGAGTGTGTATTAACTGCTACTTATTTAATTAATCACACTCCATCATCAATTTTTAAATGGAAAAACTCCATATGAAATCCTTTATGGGAAAATACCATTGTATGATCACTTGAAGGTGTTTGGCTTGTTGTGTTATGCACACAATCAAGGCAAGAAAATGGACAAATTTGCCAGTAGGCGTCATAAGTAAGTGTATATTTGTTGAGTATCCTTATGATAAGAAGGGTTGGAAATTATATGATCTTAAATCAAAGGAATATTTTGTGTCACAAGATGTTAACTTTTTTGAAATAGAATGTCCGTTTGCCCAATAAATATCTATGCTTGGAGAGAACTTCGATACAAACATTATTCATAAAAGAGTTGAGGAAGAGAATCATGAAGAAATTGAAAGTTCAAGTAATAACCTAGGTAGAGACATGGCAAAAAAAGAAAAAGATATGAGGTATGAAGTAAAAGGGGCACATACGATGAAGGTGAACAAAGAGAGACAAAAATTGAAGCACTAGGTGATGGTGATGTACTACGAGATGTGAGTAGTCATGATGGGCAGTGTAATAATGACCAACTTGGATGGAGGCACAGAGAAAAGTTTTTGTCAGTTTGTTTACGTGATTATGTGACTAATATCCTTCAAAAATTAAGTCATTCCACGAGTTCATCCTCTTCAATGCATAATCCAAGAGCACCCTATCTTATAGAAAATTATGTGAATTGTGATAAATTTTCTTTGCGACATAGAAATTTCTTGCAACTATTACAGTAGAAATTTCTTTTCTTGAAGTTGTAAAGGATGATAGGTGGAGAGATGCTATACAATGCTTTTCCTTCGTGGGGAACTTGAAGAGGAAGTTTTCATGAAGCTACTTTCGAGCTTCAAAGTATAACAACCAAGTATGGTGTGTAAGTTTTATAATCATTCTATGGTTTGAAACAAATCCTAAGATGTTGATTTGTCAAGCTCTATATTGCATCGAAAGAATATGATTTTCAACCATGCAATAGATGAAGACACAAATAACAATTCTTATTTATGTTGATGATTTAATAATTTTTAGAAATAATAAAACTATCATCCAACCTTTCAAATCATATTTAAATAAGTGTTTCTACGTAAAAGATTTAAGAGGCTTAAAGTATATTTTAGGAATTGAGGTTGGAAGAACATAAACTATTAAATAGAAAAAAATTCATAAAATAAAATAAACGAATTAAAAATGAATGACGTAACCTTATTTCTAATTACGAATAAGAGAAAGAGATTGATATAGTTATATCGTTTTACATAAAATGTGTAAAGAAGGGTGTTACTGTTACCTTTTAGCGAAGTAAAAGTGAAAGTGGCGTGGAGGTCTAGGTTCTTTCGCGTTGTCTCGTCAATTCTGGTACGCCACAACACGCCCAAATCTAACGCCCCTCACGTGAGACTTTTTCCGAACTAAAACTTACCACGTTCCACTTTCTTCCACACACTGTATATATCTCATCGTCATAGTCATCGTCATCGTCATCTGGCATTGACCCAGCAAACAGAAGATGGAGCAGTCGACCCAGGAATCCCACCTCGGATCGGAGAACTGGGTAACCTACGAGTCCCCGTACCCAATCTACGGCATGGCGTTCTCCCCGACACACCCCCACCGCATGGCCCTGGGAAGCTTCATAGAGGAGTACACAAACAGAGTGGACATCCTCAGCTTCCACGCGGAAACCCTCTCCCTAACGCCCCACCCGGGCCTCTCCTTCGACCACCCCTACCCGCCCACCAAGCTCATGTTCCACCCCTCCTCGCCGGACCTCCTCGCCACCTCCGGCGACTTCCTCCGCCTCTGGGAGCTCCGCGAGGCCTCCGTGGACGCCCTCTCGCTCTTCAACAACTCCAAGAGCAGCGAGTACTGCGCCCCCCTCACCTCCTTCGACTGGAACCACCTGGACCCCAACCGCATCGCCACCTCCAGCATCGACACCACCTGCACCATCTGGGACATCCAGCGCTCCCTCGTCGAGACCCAGCTCATCGCCCACGACAAGGAGGTCTACGACATCGCCTGGGGCGAGGCCCGCGTCTTCGCCTCCGTCTCCGCCGACGGCTCCGTCCGCATCTTCGACCTCCGCGACAAGGAGCACTCCACCATCATCTACGAGAGCCCCCACCCCGACACCCCTTTGCTCCGTTTGGCTTGGAACAAACAGGACCTTCGCTACATGGCCACCATCCTCATGGATAGTAATAAAGTTGTCATCTTGGACATTCGCTCCCCCACCACCCCCGTCGCCCAGTTGGATAGGCATCGTGGCTGCGTCAACGCCATTGCTTGGGCCCCTCATAGCTCCACCCATATTTGTTCCGCTGGAGATGACTCTCAGGCTCTCATTTGGGAATTGCCCACTTTGGCTTCTCCTTCTGGGATTGATCCCTTGTGCATGTACTCTGCTGCCTCTGAAATTAACCAGTTGCAGTGGTCTGCCACCCACCCTGATTGGATCGCCATTGCTTTTGCCAACAAGATGCAGCTTTTGAAAGTTTGAGCTCACCACGTTCAATCGTTCATAGACAGGACTCGCTTCTCACTTGTTCTTTTTCCCTACTCTGTTTCGGCTAATTAGTTAGTCTTATATATTCTGTTTTGTAATTGCCCTCACCTTTTACTTGTAGTGAAATCGGTCTTCAACGTGTATTTCACCCACTAATGCAATTGTCTGGAAATCTGTTGTGAAGTGAGACTTCCATGTTTATGATGTGGAAGCCTTAGTTATTAGCTTCTTAGTAAAAGTAAAGAAAAATCACAACTGGGATTTGGAACCAAACACGTGCTTGGTCTTCAATTTGCTGGCTTCCCGGCCAGATGATAGTTGTAAAATGTTGTTCAATGTATGTCTTTATGATTTATTGCTATTAATTATTCATCCAATCCATTCCAGTCCTTGGTTTTGTATTAATCTCAATTCTGAACTCTGAGAAAATGGAATTCCTATTACGCGGTTTGTAAATTGCGTTTGGGATTAGATATTCTGCTCCGGTTTTATGTTTTCTCCTTTTCCTTTTGTTTTCACTTCCTCTACTACACTATGTGGTTTTGGCCTTCTGCTATTACGTGGCTTGTCTCTGCTGAAAACAATGCTGCTAGTAATGGTTCAAATGGTGATTATGCTTGCATTCAGAGGAATAAGGAATTAATTGAGAAAGGAAGTGATGCACAGGTTAGTTTTCCAGAACTAGAAATTCTTATATTTTTATATTATTCAGTTATTTGAAGACATTTGTAGCGAAGAAAATTAGCAGTCAAGTAGATTTGTATGATCTAATTATCGTTGTATTTCTTTTTGCTGGTTAATTCATTGTGAATGAGAAGTTCTTTTAGGACGCGAGGATAATATGATACTACATTCATTACAGTATCCAGTGTTGACTCTTTTTCATGCTAATCTCTGCTGGGGTTGGAAATTCTATCATATCTATCTGAAATTGACCACAAGTTATTCTTATCTAAATTTTCTTTTCAATTTCTTTGGAGCACTACTGAATCTTACCTACCTTTTGGTATAACAGCAGGCTCCACAATGTATGTAGTCGTTGTACTTCAAATGCATAATGTTTTCCTGTAGATATTTATGTACTTTTATAAGCCTCTTATAGTTAAAAAGAAATTTGCTTTCAGTTTGCTTTGGCTAGGTGAAATTTTCGTATAGACACTGCATGTTTGCTTTCTGAAGCAGAGCTCTTGTACAAAGCCTGGCTTGGAAGCTGAGAGTGACCCTGTCGATAACATGCAGGAATTTTCTCCACTGAAATATGAGGAAGAAGCACATCCAAGTGGAGCAGAGACACAAGAGGTTTTGAAACATGCATTCATTTTGGCCAGACATTGATGATGCATGGCAGTCATGCTGGAGGCAAGATTCTGCCACTTTACTGCAATAATCCATGGCTATAAACAGTTACTTGAGTAGGAAGAGTATCTAAAATTTAACCAAACTTGTATTTTTTTAGGATAAACTGTGTGTCTGCAAAAATGGTGAGGCAAGCACAATTGATGACAAGGATGCTGATCCAGAGCATTTTGGGAATGCTAGCAATATCAATGGTGAGGCTCATGACAATACCTATGTTCAAATTAACTCTTCAAAAGGAAGCTGTTGACTTGATTTCAACATGTCATACCCATCCAAACACCACCCAAAAGAATGCCACAGTTAATTTCATAGGCAACTTTGACTTTTCTCCTCAATTGGATATTTCTCTGAGAAGATCTTGTCCCAGCAGCTTTGAGAATGAACTCACTGAAGAAAGACATACCCTGATGCAATCTAATGCTTCAGCTTTCAAGAGGTAACTGCCAAAATCCCTTGTTTTTCTTATTTTAAATTTTTATGAAGTTGCATCTAGTTCTCATTAGCCGGTAGAAATCAGCTGGTTGCTTGTATATGTCGGTACACCTTCCTTATTTAATTACTTTACTATAAAGGAGTTCAAGGAATGTAACACTCCTTAAACAAACTAGCAGGTGTGGAAATAACAAATCTCCTGCCTAAATTATGGAGTAGCAGCTTGAGTTTTGTTAAAATTACCTACTGAAATATAATAAAAGATGGTGATGATTTTGAGAAATTTTAATTTTTAAAAATTGATATAATTTTCAGAACTATAAAAACATTTTAAGTTTTGATAACTAAATTTTACACTAGTGAGATTTGTTTCTTCTTTAGGATGGGGGAAGAAGCTAACAAGTTTATAAATTTTGTCACGTGGCCTCTAAAATTTTCACTGCACTGTTGAATTTCTATATGCTTATCTTTGAAATGGTTGTAGTTAATACTAACAGACAATTGCAAGCCACAACGCCTACAGTGTTAATCAACTTCTCTGATCAACAAAGAGAACCAAGAACAAATGGTGAGAAATGCATCTCACATGTCGCTACTGGCTGCAACTCAGATAGTTTCACACTTAGTATGCAAAAATGTATCATGGCTACAGCTACAGTCTAATCAAAAGAATCTGAACACAGGACCACAGAGTCCCAGCAAAGGCATTCTCTCCCAATTCAAGTAAAGGATGTAAGGTTCAATGATCTATGCACAACCTATGGTTCTGTACTTCCTTAAATGGTCCCCCCGCAATGCCAAATCCAAGTTCAGTTGTGCTCCTTGTCCTTGAACCAAACTTCCAAGTAAATGCATTTTACCAGTCAAATATGAATGAGAGTAGTTCAGAGCATCTTTTGGAACCTAGCGGTCCAAATAGAAACAACCCCCATAACCACATGGTTTACACACAGGAACAAAAATCAGAACATGCAGAGAATGGAGGACATATCTCTCATACAACTGATCAAAGAGTGTCAAGTAGCTTCTGTAATGGAAATGCAAGCCATCTTAACAGCATCGGTTATGGAAGCAACTGTGGAGGTAGCAGCAATATTGAACAAGTTACCACTGTCATGGCAGCTTCAGAGGCCAAGAATGAATACCTCACAAACAACGAAAACTCTCGTCCATCTATCCAAAGAGAAGCAGCTCTAAACAAATTACGCTTGTAAAGGAAAGAGAGATGCTATGAGAAGAAGGTTCACCACTATAACCATTACATTGTATTATAGAATGATTATCATTGTTTCAAATAGATGCTAACTTTTTCTTATACTTTTTAATAGGTTCGATATGAGAGCAGCGTCACAGTGTGAAAGGACAAAATTTTTCATCAAGTGCTTCCGGATTCTCTTGTTGCTGAAAAAGATGGAAAGGAATATGATCATTCACAGATTTCTGACTCGCTGGAGAGGAAAGCATGAATTGTTGGCATTTAGTTGCTTCCGTATTTTGTTTTCCTGAATTCTTGAATACTAGAAGCATTTTTCTCATTTTCCCTTTCTGTAGATCGTGATAACGATCTACAATGTACCGAATGTACTATATCATTGTAATTTTATACAGTTTTAGAGAGATCTTTGTGCTTTATTATTTATTTATTATTAAGTTGTTTACTTACAAGTTACAACTTACAATGACTCACTAATTGATCATGTAATAGCTTCTTGCATTTTATGATGACTCCCAGTTAACTTGTTACATTTTGTTCAAAAAAAAACTTGCACCTTTCTCTTTAAAAAAAATCGGTTTACACCTTTAAGGTAGTTGCAGGTTTAGCAAGCAAGCTTTTCTTAAAAGAGGCACTTGAAAAGAGTTTCGAAAGTGATTCCCGTCCCACCTCCACTACCCATATTCCGTCCCCACAAAAGGAGAATTGCAAAATGGAAAAAGAAGTAAGATTGATTTCCATTGGTAGCTGCATGATATCAGGACGCCATCTGCCTTTTTAAGGCTTTGCCAAGTTATTTAGAAGTCTGTGACCAACTTTTTAATGTAATTCAGTACAATTGTTTATTTATGTTTTAAGAATACATTTTCTTTCCTTTACAATTTTAATGCCAGTGAGAGTTAATTATGGCCACTATTATTAATGTTAAGATTTTAAAAGAGCTAAACTGAATTTTTAAGTATTCTTATTATTAAGGTTTAAATTGATACTAAAGGTTTAAATTCTTTGTATCGAGAATTATTGAGAGAAAAAAAGTATCACTATAAAATTCGTTTAGATTAAAATGCATTTTAAGTATAACACATTCATTTGTCAGAGAAAGTGTATTTTCTTAAATTAGATGGGGGGAGTGTAATTTAATCATATATTATTTTAAAAGCAGTTCGTTTAAAGAAAATAAAAGTATATTTTTTAATTTCTTTTTTCCCCAAAGTTATCCCAACACACTATCAATGGATACAAATAAGTAAAACAAAGGGCAGAGCTTAAAAACAATTTCTCTGTACATGCTAATATCAGAGTTCGGATCCTTATCGCCTGAAATTTTTGAATTGCGTAGTTGAAAATTATGGACTCGTACTGGCGTTCAAGAATTGAATGTAGCAATAAAGCATTTCCATTCTCTATTAAGTTTGTGGATAAAATTTGAGAAGAAATGTATGTAGACAGAATACATGCTTGAGAAATGGACAAATGGTAGTAGCCAAATCTACATACTCCACAGGGGACCCTTTGGCATTCTGGAAATAATAGTGCCAAAGGTTGTCTAAAGTTTAAACACGTCAGTCCCCCCACCTTGCTTGTACTTCCCAACTACCAAATTTGAAGATGATTCACTTTTCTTAATGCTTGAACAATATAATTATACTATTTGATTGGTTTATCAGTTTTTTTTGTTATTGCTGGGATCTGCACCTGATATATTTATACAGTTATTCAAAGAACCAACATAATCACTAAGCTATGTTAAGCAAGTGATTCAGTTCTCTCTTAAGTATGGTCTCAAATCCAAATTTTGAATTGACAACGCAAGTTATGCGACAAATTTGTCCCTTTTATCCAACTTAATTCAAATTAGTCAAGATCCAAAATGATTGCTTGGTGCAGAAAATGAAACTAAAGAAGAAAGAAACCAACAAAGTTGTATTTTATCTCCCATTAAAACTAAGCAAAATACTGTTCGCCCCTTAAGTAATCTGCACATAATAGGAGTCTTTATGGTCCATGAGAAAAGACAACCAAAAAAAAAATAATGAGAAACAAAGCAGAGAAGAGGAGAAACCACTAGGTCATGGGGTCATCAACTTCTCTTGATTGAAGGGACGAATACTCAATAATATGAAAAAGGAACTTTTAATGTCAAACGTCTCTGCCACGGGTGGCATCTAAATTAACTCCTAACTAGAAGGGTCCTTACATGGGTAAATGACAGAAAATTAAAGCAATAAAATGGTCCACCATCACCATGTATGGTGGAACTTCACTTGGTAATCCTTTAATTTATTATTTTTTATTCGGTTAATCAACTACCTAGAAGGTTATCAAGACTTTGAAGACTATTCATATCAATCAAACCAAGGAAAATCACATTTACGGCCACGAAATCATCACTAGACAATAGTTCCCGGGGAATAAATGTTCCCTCCTTTTTCTTTTTGTTTTATTAATGAAATGAACAGAAGAATTAGAATTATGAACCCATAAACACAAAATCTCAGTAGTTTTCTGAATAACACATGACATTATGCGGCTAGGATGTAAACGCCACTAGGTCATTTAATTTGTGCCATATCTTCAATTTTGAACAAAGGCTATTTAGGCTATTTCCTCTACGGCTCTTTTAGAAAAAGCGTTGCTTTTTTCCTTTCTTTCCTAATCACCCATTATTGCTTAAAGACTTATCCCGTATCCTCTTCCTTCAATCATCGTGCCAATATATCATATTGTATATACCATATACTATCATTTATATTTGCAATTCCCAAAATATCGTTATCTTAGGTATCCAATATACATGATACTGGAGATGAGATGACCAGGGGTCCACTGTGTGCCACGTGTCTCACTTCTGTGATTACATCTGGAAATCACCACCAGTGACGTGCACTTCATGCGGCTATTTTTGGCTTCGCCTTATCATACTAAATTGTTATTATTGTTGCTTGTTCCATGGTCTTGTAATTACTACAAAAACTTTTCAATGTCTAACAAAGGAAGCAATACAAAAGGCAACATATACTTGGTTTACTTGCAAGTTTTGATTGGTAATGTTCATGGAGAATTACAACACTTTTAATTTAGTGCTAATTCAACTATCACCATTTTATTGAATACTTGAAAGTTATCAAAAATATCAAAGCTCATATGCATTACTAGTAGGTTGGGTGTTCAATTCAATTTACACTTTTATTTTTCCTTTTCTGGCTCTGAATAGATCTTTTCAGAAAGTATGCTACCACTGCGGACCCAATTGCGCCAAAAAGAAGATGTTGGATTGGGGACAGTTATTGCCACAAATTTGGTTCTTAGTGTTGTATGGCAGTCTCAATCATCTCATTACATAAAAGTGCGAAAACGACCAAAGCGTACTGTGAAAACAACCGTAAATACCTATTAACACAACTAGGTTACCTTATAGCCTTTCTACGGTAAATGTGCCAACTTCTGCTGCTCTTCTTAACCTTTGAACTATGAACGTGCAAATTTTGTTTTAGAGGAAAAGGCTAGAGCTTGCGTTGTACCAATGAAACTTCGCTCGTTAATTCCTTGCAAAAGATTTTGATTAAGAAAATAGTCAAAAGTGATGGAGAATGATGCAGTGTCGTTCGACCAGGTGCACCAAATTACACGTTCAAAACTGGTTTATTCTATGTGTCCCAAAGTGCGTACATGTTCATGGGACGTTTTCCTCATCTTTTATGTGTTTTATTATTTGCATGTATTTTTCACTAAGTATATATATATATACATACATACTAACTCCAAGCGTGTGATTTAGTAGTAGAGGTTGATCCACGTTTAAGGTCAGGAATTCAAATCCTGCCTATGCAACCGCCTTAAATCTTAAGGTCAGTTATCCCACCTTTAGAATATGCGTTTTTCACTTTTTTCTAGTAGTATTACAAAAAGAAGAGTAAATAATATTATACGAATTGATGTACAAAAAACTATATCTAAATAAATTCTTTTATAAAGATGGTGAGTAAGTGTAAAGTTATGTTATTTTCCAGCAAAGTTAACGGTTGAATTTACCCATACTAATAAGACGCGTGTGCGTCTGTGTTTGTCATGCTAGGATTTCCCCAATTATCAAGCAATTTTCCGGAAGTTTACCACTTTACTATTATACACTAATCATCTTAAATCCGTGTTTTTAAAATCTATTCTCATCGGTATTAGAATAATATTCAAACAAAATCAAGTCTCATAAACATAAATTAACTTTTAATTATCAACTATAAAATATTATGTGAAACAAATTTAAACAGGAAAAAAATTATACATTAATCCCCCACAAAGGGAAGCCTAATGCTACCAGTCAAGAGCATGGTGTACCCGGCATAATAATTGTTGCTTTTTGCTCTCTTATAAACCCTTCCCTCTCTTCCTTAATGTTGTAAACATCTTTCCTTTCAAGTTTCAACTCTCTCTCTTTCTATCTCTCTCACACACAAATGTCTCAAATCACAATAACCTCTCCAAAACATTGTGCTGCAAAACAAGGACTCAAAAACACGAAAAACTACAAGAAGCTCTACTTGACTTTCTCAGCATTTTTCACCTCAGTCCTATTACTAATACTTCTTATCTGGCTCATCCTCCACCCAGCCAAGCCTCAATTCTCCCTCAAAGAAGTTGATATCTACCAGCTGAACCTCTCAGGACCCAACCTCAACTCCTCCATCCAACTCACCCTCCTCTCCAAGAATCCAAACCAAAAAGTTGGCATTTACTTTGATGAGATTCAAGTCTATGCAACCTACAAGGGGCAGCAAATAACTGGTGACACCCCTGTGCCTCCCTTCTACCAAGGCCAAGAGGAGAGTAATCTCATAACAGCCTCTTTGGTGGGAAATGGGTTACCTGTGGCTCCCTCTTTTGGCTATGAACTTGGTCGTGATCAAACTGTTGGAAGACTAGTTTTGAATCTCAAAGCCAATGGAAAGCTTCGTTGGAAGGTGGGAACATGGGTCTCTGGACGTTACAGGTTCACTGTTAATTGTGTTTCTGTCAGTGCCTTTGGACCCTCTATTCCTGCAGGCCCTCTCACTTCAAAGCAAGGGGCTCAGTGTTCTACCACAATTTAAACTTAGCATGATCTTGCTAACATTGAAAGATAATCTATTACTGAGTTCTTCAAGTTCTCTTGTTTGCAGATTTTGGTTGGCTTTGTATTGAAACGTGTTTTAGTGATTTGTAAATAAAATATATGTGAATGATAGGACAAAAAGTTACACTTTGTGAGTGAAAAATGAAAAGAGGATGTTTATTAGATGGTTAATCTTATCTCTTTGCTTTTGGTTTCATTCTCTTTCTTTTTCTTCTCTCCCACTATCTATTGAAATTTGTTTTGCTCGGCACGTGATGATGGTAGAAGTGAAAATGATTGTTGGATTTCATGGTATCTCTCTAGTGGCTTTTGGGAGTGGATACATGAGTAGATATGGTAACCTTTGTTTCTTTGGTTATTTTGTGGATGCGAAGTAAAAACACTTTGATTGAAGAATCCGTAGACGAGATTCGGAGAAGAGAGATAGTGAAAGAAAAGAGAGGAAACTGTTAGCTTTCTTTCGAGAATCTGCAGATTTTACATGTCAATTTCTTGCCTTTAAGAATCATATTGGTATACTTTAACCAAACTTTTGGTAACCATGAATTAGCTTCCATTTTTCTGTCTTTTTTGGACAGTATTCAGAGATTATATTGTCCATATGAATGTCTCAAACGAATATACCAGGGAATGCTAACTGTGGGATTATTCATTGTTCAACACTTTCTCTTTTCATTTTTAGCGTTTTGTCACGCATTGATTACTAAGAGCTACTCTCTCATCTGAGACTATGCTAGCATATTCGGATTTCTTAGTAACAACTTACATGCATATGCTGAAGCTGCCAATTGAAAAACTTGTACTTAATTAATCCTCTCAGATTGTCCCATTAAAACTACTAATTATATAGTCAAAAGGTTTGAGTGGTTGCTGTTGGGTATTTTATTTATTAAGTATTTAAACAAAGACACCACGTTTATTAAATTAGGAGTTTTGGAAACCAAAACCTTCATTTGTGAAGAATCTTGACCTGTGTTGTGTTCTATTAAATTTACTTAGTGAAACCCTATGTACGGTAACAACGCATTACTTCCTTTTGTTGTAAAAATATTATTCTTCCTTCCCTTCTTCCAGGCAAGCTATTTTTCTCACTTGCTCCTAACTTTTTATCCCTCCCCTCTTCTTCTTTCACTTCATCTCAGAGATTGAGTTAACAACATTTATATCCCTGCCTTTTTGTTATTTATGTGCATCTTAAAAAAGTGTTCTATTTTGAGAAGCTTCTACAAACTACAAATTAATAATATTATAAAGGAAATAAGTCTTTGAAAACTGCATTACGCTTCTACTATTTGGAATACGTTTGTTACTGAAAGCTAATGACTTGCCGAACATATATATGCGTAAAGCGTATACCTACAAACAAAAGTTAAAACAGCTAGTTTGGTAATTAGTTTTAACCTCAAATAGTCTCTCTTGTCACATTACTCTTCTAATATAAAATTATAGTGGCTCAAATATTGTAAAGTCAGATAACTTTTTCAGTATTATAAAACCCAAAATCTCTACCTACCGGTCCCTACAATTGGAACTGATCTTAACCTGAAAATGGGATAAACAAAGAAACTTGAGAATAGCAAGCACTTCCACCCACCATTCCCATTCTCAAGTCGCAAAAGATGCTAGTCTTCATTCTTCAAAGTGAGGAAGCCCTCTTCCACATTGAGTAGAATTGTAGAAAGTAGAAACAAACATTATGGCAAAGACTTGTCCCACTTAGGATCTTTGTTAAACAAAGTCAGCCAACACGGGAACCTAACCCAACAGAAATTCTTTATAGAAAGTAACTTTAAACTCGTCTACCTTGGGAAATTATAATGTCTTCAAGTAAAATTATTTAGGCCATAAATGTGACACAATGTATTCCCATTATTGGTTGAGAGGAAAGAAAAAATAAAATAAGATTTGAATTTAAAGAGAGAGAGAGAGAGAATAGAATTTTTTATTTTATTTTATTTTCTATTCAATCAAACAAAAGAATATATGTATCCATATTTTTTGTCTTTTTAAAGATTTTTTTAACATCTTATCTTTTTTAATTTATTATTTTATTTCTCTTTCTAAATTAAATTTCAATTTTAAAAATAAATTATTAAAATTATCTTGTATTATTATGTAAAATTATTTATCACAAATCTTAAATATAATTTGTGTTAAAAGTTATTTATTTATTATAAATTTTAGTTACATAAAATAAATATTTATCTTATTTATTACACAAGTTAAAATAGTGTATACATATATATATATTAAATTAAATGAACACTAATATAGTTCCCCCCTTGATTTAACGGTAGAGAGGAATTGGATAAAATTAATTTTTAAAATTCTGATAAATTTTTTATTAGAACAATTTTTTTGGGGAAGTATGAAAATTGTTCTTTTAACTAAATGTTACTTGTAAATGAGACTAAAACTTGTATCAAACTTTACTTAACAAAGTGTAGCTTGACGTTGAGGCAAGAAGTGACCCAATAATTGCTTGTTGATTTCTCTGTTAAGGACCAGCAATTTGGAAATTAGTTTGAAAAAATCATGTGAAATGCTTTTTATGGACCTGAAAGTCGCTTCCAAATGTTAGGCAACGCGTTGGTTTCTGCTTAACCCCCAAAATTCAACTGTGTTTGCTTCAATACCGTCTACTTTTTGAAGGCATCCCAACAAAAATGTCAAAAAAGTTTGCATATATTACAGATTGCTTCTACCATCTCCAACTCCAAAACCCCTCCTACTCTTCCATTATTATTAGTAGGGTAGTGGTCAATCACAATTTCAGAAGCAGACCTGTTTTATTTTATATGTCAAACTCCAAAGCAGACTTAATGGCTAAGCACAGGGCACCACTAGGGATGGTAATGGGACGGGTCGGGTACGGGTTTTATGATACCCGTCCCCGTCCCTGTAATTCAAATTCATTCACGTACTTGTACCTGTTGAGTATATAATTTTTGTCTCTATTCCTGTCCCCATCGGGTATCGGATATACTCGTACCCGGTACCCGTACTCATAAATTTTTTCTTTCAAAAAAAATACACAATATTTTAAAATTATTTTTCCATTATATTATAATTATAACTAAATTGTTTCTCTATCTCATATTTTAATCAAGAGATTTCTTAATAATTAAATAACTATAAATATTAATAAATAATTATACATAATAAAATATTAAAAATTTTAATATAATTAAATCAGGAGTGGGTACGAGTACGGATACGGGACGGGTATCCCTCATCAAAGTCGGGACGGGTTCGAATATTACTCAGGATACGGGTTTATTTGCCATCTCTAGCACAGCCTCTTTTAATATAAATGATACTAGTTTTAATTTCTGATGCAATATTATTAAGAAGAAAAAAAACTGGAACTAATATGTGTTATTAACCGAACTCCAAACATTTTTTTCTTATTGCAGAAGACTTGAACACCTTGTTTAAAGGAAATCAAACTCCTCTAGCTTGAACTAATGTGTTATTAACCGAGTCTTTCATTTTCTAAACTTTTATGCCCACGGAATTAAATTTCTTTATTAATTAATTATTACGTGTTCCCAACTACATAATACACCTTAATTGTTCCTGTAAGGTGTGGGCTAATATTCCAAAATGTTCCCAAATTGAATCCCATATGTGGATTGGGTAATTTGGATCGAAAATGTGCTCAGACCATTAACTAGTTTGGCCCAAACCATTCTTATGATTGGCTTACGCCTTACGAGCTGGTCTTCAACAAAGTGTTATTAAACACTACTTACAAGTTGATGTTATATCGAGAACTGCATATGGAGAAACGATAACTATTTTTATTCCATAACATTAGATATTAGTATGCTTGATTCATGCTCATTTTTTTAACTCAAAATATTTTCCGATTGAAATCAAGGATTAATCTCGAGAAGTATTAAAATTCACTCAAGAGACAAATACTTTAGCATATACTTTAACCCAGGGATTAACCCTTGATTATACACTCAAAAGACAAAAATATCTACAACCATATCAACTCTATTGATGTTTGATTTTTTTTTTTTTTATAACCATAATATATGTTCAAAGTATCTATATCGAAATAAGTAAGTAATTTCCATAAAGAAGGGGAGCATCATGCTTGATTTGTGTTTGTGCTGAGTGGATGACCAACAATATATTCTACTTCTGGCTTAGTAGAAGTGAAACTCTTTTCCTAAATAAAAATTCTGATACTTATCTGCATGTCTTCCCCCAACATTAATTATGATATAAGAACAAAATATTCATCGTCGAAAGCATTGATTAAACTCCATCTAGAACCGTGAACATATAGAAGGTAAATATTCTCTTCCCAGTATAATTTATTCTATATTGAAGACTAAAATTTGAACTTTTGACAACTTAATTAAAGAGAAACAAGTCAATATCACTTATAAAGATTAGTGTTAGTCTTCCCCAAAATTAATACACACATGCATCTATTTAAATATAATAGTTGTAACATGAAATTGAAAAGTGACACCTCAAGCAAAATACTAACTTAACAAAATGGAAATGCAATGAACATTTCACAGCTCAGTTTTAATAGACTAAAAATATATTCGACCCTGAATGAACAGTAACTCAGTAGTCCTGACTTCTGACATGCTTATTGTATAATATGAAAATGTTTAAATAAATTTCCCTATAAACACTTATAAAAAAAAATAAATAAGAAAATAAATCAAAATAAACTTCTTCATAAACTAAAACTAACTTATACATAAGTTAAAAAAATAAAAATTGGAGAAACTGATAAGAGAAAAATTTTACAAATTAGTTTATACATAAACAAATTTCATCTTATAAAAAAATTTATTTCATTTTCTCATCCTGTTTTCTCTTCCTTAAAGTTCTTGAAGAGAAATTTACCAAAAACAAATCCCTTTACAATATGCACACAAGAGAGGGTTCAACACCTTTTTAACAACCAGAATACAATGGCCTCATTCACTCTGACACAGCAACTGTCATCAAATAACCGAATAAGGATAGGTCATCCACACCAAATATTTCAAAATTTCTAACCGTGCTTGAGACAATGTTAGAATTTCGAAGGATTTGGTGAGGATGACCTATCATTATTCGGTTAGAAATTCGACTTTCATGACACCCTTACACTTGTTTCTTCAATCTCCAGCCAATAAAGAGAAGCAAAAAGCATTCAAGTCCTCGATGGAGAAAGAAGGTAGAAGCATCACATATCAATCACCAACAGAACCTCAAAGCATTAGAGTATCAAGCAAGCTAACAGCAACTCGCTCAGCCCATTTTTAATCCAACACAACTTATCTGACTACCACAGCTATTTCTAACTATACAACTCAAGCAAAAGCCAGAATGCAAATAAGAAAAGTAAAGCAAAACCATGAAATGTCATATAATTACATCAAATTCTATACCCGTGATTTATTGACACCAAGTACAATACAAGTATCACAGCTTGATACTCTATCATCGGTAACATAACAATTGCCCCCACCTTATTATCTCAAATATATTACAAGTAAAAAACTGTTGGAATCAATATTATCATCATCATCATCATACCCATAAAAACTTTAAACACAAAAAAAAAAAAAAAAAAAAAAAAAAATGTCAGCTTTAAACTCCGGTATAAAATTACAAAAGAAGGTGGATACTGAATAGCATGAATCAAGTTTGAAGGGAATCGGCACTAACCCAAGTCCAATAGTGCTTCTTAACAGAAACAGCCTTGTGAGCAACATTCTTGTGGTGAAAATCCCCTTGATACTCATCAACCTCGTAGGTGCAAAAGTCCCCTTCCGGCAAACCCTGGACAGTGGCATGAAGCGTGTGCAAGACGTAGCAACCGGGCAAACCGGGGTAGGAAGCGGAATCGCGCTCCTCGACCCGCATCTGGTAGGAATTGGGATGAATGGTGACAATGTCCTCAACCCTAGAATAAAAGGCGTTTGCGGCGGCAACGACGGAGCCAAGCTCCTCCAAAATTCCCCTGACGGCGGCGGATTCGGGGTCCTCGTTGGGCTTCATCTTCTCGGAGAGAGGCCTGCCGCGCTTCCGCACGTTGCCGTCGGAGAGCTCCTGGTGCGACTCCACCAGGAATTTGGCGTCCTTGCCTTTGATGCGCACGAGGACCACGTGGACGGTTCGGACCGGAGGGGTGGAGTCGGCCAGGGAGGTCTCGCCCTGGGACAGCTCCAGCCAGAGGTTGTGCACGTTTTTCGTGCCTGGCTTCACGCCCCACGAGGCCAGGGACTCCGACGGCAGCCGCGGCTTCAGCCACTCCGAGAGGGACTGCGGGGAGGCGAAGTTGTGCCGCCGCGGAGGGACGGCCGACGTCGAGGAGGAGGAGCTCAGGGACATGGCCGGGATTTTCAGGATGCGCCCAGGGAAGGGGCAGCGCGTGGTGGCGATGTGGGACTTGGAGGAGGAGACTAGGAAGCAGACCGAGAGGGCCGTCAGGAGGAGGTCCGGCAGGGAGGGGAGGTTCGTCAGTGGCTGCTGCGGCGGCGGGAACATTTCAACCGTCTGGATTGCGGAGCTCCATCGTCAGGGTTGAGTTCGTAAATTAGATATTCCTATTCTATTCTATTCTATTCTTTATTTCTTTTTCGCTTTGTCCTTTTATATTTTCTTAAACATTATTAATATTTATCGGCTCAATTAATATTATAGAATTATTATTTTTTATTTTTTATTTTTTATTTTTTTAAAAATTTGAAAATAAAATAATCTAAAAATTACAGAAAATCGCTTTTATGTTGGCATCATAATAGATGCGTAGCGCCTATTACGTTTACGTGGCTTCTCTCTGTTTCAGTCACTCTGCTCTCAGTTGTCGTTCTCGTTATGGACCCACTTTTTGTTTTACCTAGACTTCACAGGCCCAATACCATTAGGCCCAATACCAGTTCAAAAGACTGATATGGAAGACTTCATTTTTTTTATTTATTTTTTTTTATTATTCTTTTCGAGTTCGTTTTTAATTTAGATTCTTGTTATAATCTGAGTTGAGTTAAATGAGATTATTATTAGCCCACTCTGGTGAATTAGATGGAGAGAGGAAAGAAAATGCAATAGTTTAGCTTATTACATAGTATTACTGTAATGGTAGTCTCACATCGTGTAATAAATAATAGTTAAATGACTTGTGAGTTGTGACTAATTCGGTCTATCTCTACCCATTAGCTATTTGGATACACATTAAAAATGATTTGGAGATTTTTCCTTTTTTTTTTTTTAATAAATAAGCTATTTAAAATACTTTTAAATTATATTTAAATAAATTATAGATCATATTTGTTTTAAAATTGGTGTTGACATCATTAAAATGTAAATCGAATTAGTCTAACACAAATGGACGATGCATTTATAATAAAAAAAAATTATTATAAAAATTATTTGTTCATTAATCATATTGTTAGGGTCACTCGAAAAATATACTTTTTGAAATCACTCAAAAAGGAGGAGGAATGAATAGGTATCTACCAAAAAAGAACATCAGAAATCATGAGCATGCCTATTCGAGGATTGATCGAAAAATGCAAGAGGGAGTTATTGGAGGTTTTTGAGCAGTTAAGTAGTTACACTAAGGTAGTTACTAAAGTTAGTCGAAGAAATAAAGAACGTGGGGTGAACGGTTATGAGAGGTTACATTTAATCCACGTAATTGGTGTAGTGGACAGCGGTTACGCGCCCATGACGTAGTGGCACAAAATTAACTGCTCTCGACTAACTCTATAAATATGAGAAACATACCCTTTCACAGAGGTCGAAAAAATCATACTTGTACTTTCAAGCACCCACTGCCTGCGCATATGGCTTCCGTGCATGAAATTGTTGGGTATGACCACTTCTTGGCCACATTTTCTTTCTTTTTCTAGGATTAATGTAGTTAGTTTCAATTTGTAGTTAGTTTAATTCTGATATTGTAATTTGATTATTATGCGAAGTGGACTATGATTTGTATTGCCAATATATGCATTGTTCATTTCATTTATTTGAGTATCTACATGCATGAACATTATTGCTTGATAATCATTGATGAAAATCTAGAAACAAGTAATTACTAGTTACTCTACTCTGTCTGTCCCCATTCTTCATAAAGTTTAAACGTAAAATACCTAAATTGAAACAAACTAGTGCTAGTTCGAGTAAAAAGAACTCATAAACGAATTCCACCACGAACAAATTGTCACGCCTGATGGGACATGTTTTATTAAAAACATAAATGAACTAGTTTTAGATATGTTTTATGAGACTTAGGAGTGGAAGAACCATGTCTACATCTAATAGGAGAGAAGTGAACAATGATGATCAAGTAGATGTAGAGAACGGAAATCCAAACCGAGATAATGTGACTACTGTGACAAGGGGGGCAACATCACCTCTTGTTGTGCTCGAAAATGTGGCTAGGCAAACGAATGTATCCCAAGAATTCGCAAATGCCACTAGAGACTACCCATGGGGTAAGACGCAAAATTGGCGAACTACTCAACCCATACACGTAAAGATGCCAGTACCTTATTTAGGGCCAAATCCACAGATGCATGTATCCCCACAAGGATACAATCCCAGACCAAATGGAATGGGATTTATCATGCAGAATCCTTATCAACATGTAGGGACAAGTCATGAGGGATCTCTGGTTCGACAAAGTAACTATGTCCCCACAGGTATAAGTAATCAAACTATGATGGCCCTTCGACAACAGATGGACCATAGTAATCATGATATGGTTAATTTATTATCGACTCAGATGCATAATATACTAACCCCTCTATACGAGTTAATAAATAAAATGGGAGATAAAATGGGAGACAATCCACCGTCGAGAGCCATGAGTTTGAACTTGAACGATATGGAAAATCAAGGTGGGAATGTAGGCTTCCCTAAAAATTTAGGTAGACCTCATAGAAATCTTGATGAAAACTTAGATCAAATTGTAGAAAGGGTACTAAATAGACATGGTTTCGAGGTAGGTCGAAATGAACATCCCTATTTTGTGTCTGCTTTTCCAGAATACATAATTCAGGTAGAATTGCCTAGGGGGGCAAAAGTCCCAAAATTTTTGAAATTTGCGGGAGAATTGAATGAGTCTACCGTCGAACATATAGCAAGGTATTTAGTTGAATGTGGAGATTTAGGGAATAATGAATATTTAAAAATGAAGTATTTTCCAAGTTCTCTGACTAAGCATGCTTTTACCTGGTTTACAAATTTAGCCCCTAATTCAATTAATACTTGGGCTCGGTTGGAAGGTAATTTTCATGAACATTTTTTTCGAGGAGAAACTAAAGTGACTATAGTCGATTTAATGAATATAAAAAGACAAAATCATGAAACATTAGATGACTATTTGAATAGGTTCAGGCAGTTGAAGTCTCGATGCTATACAAATATTCCTGAACATGAATTAGTAAAAATTTCCGCCATCGGGCTAGACTTTTCGATTCAAAAAAATTGGTAAACGAACAGTTAAGAGATATGGCACAGTTAGCAGAAAAAGTAAGAAGGATCGAGCAAATTAAGTTAGAAAAGGAAAGATTAAGGAAGTTCGATAGATTTGTTTGAAAAGAAAAGGTGGCCTATGTAGAAAACACAGAGATCAGTGAAGATGCTAATTGTGAGGGTTCGAGTGAGGATTTTGAAGTTAACATAGCCAAATTACGTCCTGGCCCTACCTATCAATGTCAAATGTTAAAACCAGGAGATAATGTGGAAGAGAGTACAACTAGGCAATATAGTTTCGATGTGACTAAGGCTAATAAAACATTTGATATTTTGTTGAAAGATAAACAGATTGCACTCCCAGAAAACCATAAAATTCCTCCATTCGAACAAAGAAAAAGGGAAGAAATTCTGTAAGTATCATAATATGTATGGTCATTGGACTAATAATTGTGTACGTTTCAGGGATATGATCGAGAAGGCGATCACTGAGGGTTGTCTGGCTTTCAAGGAGAAGGATATGAAAGTGGATACTGATCCATTTGCAGCTCATATTGGGTATGTGGAGCCAGTCTCGATGGGGATCAACATGGTCGAAGTGAATATCGAAGAGGATGAGAATGTCAAACCCATCTCTGATGAAAAACTCGAAGAACTGTTGGATGATTTTGCCAAAGAGGAGGAACCTATTTATCCAAAGGAGGGAGATAGTTTGGTCAAATTCCTGTCTAGGAAAAAGGATGTTGATAGGGAAGTCATGCTTTGCCCTCGATGCAGTGCAGTATTCGACAGAGCTGCTGCTAAAGCCTTCGAGAAATCGGAGGTAATGAAAAGCTACAAAGCTGAAAAGCTTCAAGAAAAGGCAAAACCTAATACTGGATTGACAATGCGGCAGATACATATGTCTCAGTATAATGCTCCAATGGGAAAAATGGAGATGCATAACTCATCGAAATTTTGCAATACTTTTGTGTCAAACGCTAATGTCCCAGTTGGAAAATGGAATGCTCCACCAAGGCAAATGGATGGAATGGGTTGAGGGAAACAAGTCATGAATTATGCTGGGCCTACATTCCAGGGAGTCCCTGGGAAATTCTCAAATTTGTCTGGAGTTCCTGGCAAATTATCGAATATGTCTGAAAGTTATGGGCGTGGATTTAGACAACCTTTTAATAATTTGACCAACACCTAGTGGAGGCGACAATAGAGAATGAGGAAAGCTACATTCGAGGGTTTTAGAGGGAATCGCTTCTCGATCCCGGTACCTCAGAAAGGTGAGTCATCTCAAAAGTTCATGGAGGATGATGAAGATATGATAACTGATTGCTTCGAGAGTGGTTTTGACGACTCTTTGGAAGATGTTTGTGGGATAGTGTCGATTTTACCTTCTGAATATGTTGGGGCCATGAAATCCATTAATGAGCAAGAGGATATCCACAGAGAGGATTTTTTCGATGATCCTAGCTATGAGTCGAAGATCGTGTGGGTTAATCAAATCTCTCGAGTTATTCTCAAATTTAACTCAGCTGTGTTTGATTCTCCTACTGAGGATATGAAGGCTCATCTTAAGCCTTTATTATTAACTTTGATGATCGAGGGACATGAAGTGGATAAAGGATTGGTTGATGGAGGGGCAACTATAAATTTACTCCCAAGAACCATGCTGAAAAGGTTTGGAAAGACAGTAACTGATCTAAAGCCTCATAACATCCTCATATCAGATTATGCTGGAAAGTCATCACAACCAGAGGGCATGATTTTGCTCGATGTGCAAATAGGAAGTGTGAAACGAACAACCATGTTCATCGTGACTTCGTCGAAACTAAATTTCAATGTTCTGTTAGGGCGAGAATGGATACATGGAGTTGGAGTTGGATTTGTTCTTTCGACTGTTCACCAAAAAATCTTCTTTTGGAATGATGATGAAGGTTTAGAGGTACTCGATGCTGACCAGAAGGAGTACGAAGTAGGCATGTACTTTGCAGATCAACAATTGACCGTGTTTGCAAAAACCAAGTCTTTCGATGCCCATAATGCTAACATGTTAGAGGAAGAAGAGGGCATCAAGAAAATGTTCTGTTGGGATGTGAGGAAAGGATTTTTTATTCGAGCCGAAAAAGAATCGGCTCAAGAGGAAGAATGAAATACCAA